AATAAAAACTTCTAATAAACTTAATGCTTTTAATCGTAATTTATTTTTTAACTATTGATTTTTATATCTGACAGAAATTCAATTGAAAATTTCAATTTTTGATCAGCCAGCTTTTCCTATTGGACGCGTGCGCGAATTGTTTCATTTATTTATTCCGTGCAATAAGAATTCCACTTGCGACTCAATAGTTAATTTTATACAAGCATTATGGTCCGTTCGGGTTGGTTTTAATGACATGATCAAAGAATTTGTAATAATTAATGACATTGTTATAGAAAATAGGGCTAATTTAGCTGGAAATTTCCACGATAGTACTAATACTTTAATTAATGTTTGTGAAAATTTTTTTACGTTTTCTTCTCCAAAAAAAGGTTCAAGCTGACCTTTTTAAATGTGTTCTCCAATAAACGTGCATAATAGAATAAATGCTTTAGATAGTACAGAAATAAATTATTTATCTACTGTAGTGATTTAAGCAGCATGATTTTAGTCGGCTGGCTAAGCCAGTCGACCAAAAACATCGGCTAAGCGGCTAATAGTGGCTGGCTAGAAAATAAGTTAGTCACGCAACCAAACTGACCAAAAATTCCAGGTTGGAATAATCGAAATGACAATTTTGTCTAAAATTACTTGAAATTTTTAATAAACAGTAGCTTATGTACTACCGTACCGCACTGCCCCTAGTATCCGGGTATTATAAAAAAAAAAGGGTATTATACATGACAATATATCCATGGGTACTTAACCAAGAGTGGGTACTATGCTTGGAGGGTACTGTGACTTGGAGGTAGGCTTTGTTATTAAATCAATTTTAATTAATATATCAACCTGAAATTCTAATACCCGGGTCTTATACAATTTTTTCGAAAGTTTTTTTGGTAATGTATCCGGGTATAATTCGATGAGGGATATTGCATTAGGGGGTACTAAAGGCAGTGCGGTACGGTAAGTCAAATTGTCCAAATGTTAATTTTGTTATAATATAGTTGGCTAGCATTATAGCTTAATGCCGGCCTAGTTCCGATGCATTCGACTCTAAATTTTGGGTTATATAAAAAAATGAACCCTTAGCCGTATTAACAAGCTAATAGCTTTATATTGGCTGGTTTAACTGGCTAAGCCGGCTTAGCCGTGGCTGCTTCAGCCAACTTAAAACATTATTAGTGATTTAAGCCGTAAGGTTTTGGTTTAGTCGGCTGGCTAAGTCAGCTGACTAAAATAACGGCTAATGGCTGGCAAATACCATACTTCCGGTAAACTTAGCTTGTATTTTATGTTCATTCATTTTCCTTTTCGTAATTTACCGAAATCCTACTATATACTAAATCATATGATCTTTAGCCGCATTAGCCAGCTGATCATATTATATTGGCTGGCTTAGCCGGCTAAGCCATGGCTGCTATAGCTGGCTAATCTACTGTATATATAATTAATATTCAGAGTTCGAATACTAGCACGATTTTAATGTTTCACAATAACGCAAGTAACTTTACTTAAATCAGATGTTAATAAATTGATTACTTTTAAAACTAAAATTTCGAAAAACCGCCTTATAAAAAGTCTGTAACTTTGATCCTTTCAAACCACATAACATCCCTAATGCTTGGTACTGGTGTACACATGTCGGAGAAATACGGTAACTGAAGAAATAGAAATGACAATTATTTAGTAACAATGTCAATACATATTTTTTAAATAAAATAAAATAAAATAAACCTTACACATACCATACCTACATCAAATATTCCCTACATTATTCCATTTTGTAATAGAAGAAATTCAAAAGTAATTTATATTTACATGACAACAAAGAAACATTATATTGCTCGAATACATCGCAAAACTAAAAATTATCCAATTATTTTATTTATTTGTAAAGTATAAGTTGTAATCTAACCTTACGACTAAGCATAAAAATTGAACTGTTTCAGTTGCAGAATAAAAATTTAAACAATCAATTAGTAACTTAATATGGTAAAGAAAATAATCTTCAAATTTTTCAAATAGTTGTAAAGTGCGATCTTGTGAGTCTATTTATAAGGGATCTGATGCAGATTCCACTTGTGACTCAAGTATAGTGATAGATAAAAAAATACTAATTTAAATACGTACAATGAGAAAATCAATGTTAAATTACTTACTCTTAATAATTTTGCATTCGTTACGTAGCATACATTCCTTAAGACATTGGGGTGTACAACATCAGTCTAATTACAAACATAGATCACTAATCAAGATTTTTTATATTGAACTGCAGATCAACGATAATTTAATAGTAAAAACATAGAAAGCTCAAGCTACAATAACTCTTGAACCAGCAAACCCACGCAGTTATAATTATATTTGTCGGGTTCATTATAATATGCTCTTTAATGTGATACTGTAACGCTCTTTTTTTTTATTTTTATTGTCTGGAGCGTAGCGGGATAATAATATAATACCAAAATTCTCGTTTTTGATTAATTATTAATAAAAACATCAAAAATGTAACTTTGAATTTTTGTGCATATTATGACACAATATACAATAGCTACGTTTTTGATATTTTTTTTAACAATAAATCAAAAACGAGAATTTTGGTATTATATTATTCCTCCACTACGCTCAAGACAATAAAAGTAAAATAAAAAAAAGAACGTTGTCACATTAAAGAGTATGTTATAATGAACCTGGCAAATATAATCTTATTTGTGTGGGTTCACTGGTTCAAGAGTTATTGCAGTTCAATATAAAAAATCTTGATTAGTGATCATCATTATATGACCTGTATAGACTGATGTTATACACCCTATTAAGACATGTATATATCAAGAAAATCCGTACGTATACAACAGGCCGCTATTATGATGAATTTACCAATGTTAGTATGTTAGTTAACTTTTATAGATTTTTTATACTATATGTATTTTATATGTAGGTCTGTACTTATGTCTAATCTTGGCCTATTGGCCGTGGCCAAATCGGCCATTAGGGCAATATTTTATTTGGCCGCTGCCAATTGCCAATCAACTTTGGCCATTTTTTGGGAATTGGTAAGTAAACTCGAACAAAAAATTAAATAATATCGAATAATGAAAAATAATAAACACTCGCAGCGCTTACATCCGATGCGAACCTTGTTCGTTTATTAACCCAAATTTCACAAACAATAAAAATGTGTATATAAATTAGATATAAACCAGATAACTGAAAAAACATTTAATTATAAATTCAAATTAAAGAAATATCCGGTTAGATATCTGGACCTAACGCTAAGGCTATTTTGAATCCCAGACTACCAATTTTCCGTCTATACCACTTGACGAAAAATATGAAATATCGTGACGTGATCCTTGATAGGGTCTGATTGATCTGTATTTAGGAAACAAAAAAACGAAACATACTTGTTGGTAAATTAAATAGTAAACCTGGTTTAAAAAAAAAAAAAAAAAAAAAAAAAAAAAAATCAAACGTATACATACGTAATAGTGTTCTGATGAACTGTGTTTAATTCAGTTTCCTTACTACCTTCGCGTATTCCTTTCGAATCCCAATCGTGAAACCTGTTAAAAGCTGTCGCTTCGGTAGCCACCTTTTTTTTACCTACGTCTATCACTTTAGAAAACTTCCTATTGTCGAAATACATTAACCACTGTTATCAACATATCAATAGTCATTTTCGTTATTGCTACTTACCATTGTTGACCTTGCTTTTCAAATAGTACAGGGACACATTCATGGCCGGCGGCAATTAATTTTTCCTCAGTAATCCAGAGCAAACTTAAATATGGCAGGCCAGTTGTCCTAATATTTTGAGTTTCACCACCTGCATAGGCAATACAGATTTGCGAATCATGACCTAGAAAAGTATTCTAATTTGTTAAAGGTGATATTAATAAAATATTAATTATAAATAACATTTAGCATATACCTGAAAAAGCTAACGCATCACCACTCGGTGAAAAAGAAACGCTATGAATCCAACCGCTGCTATTGTTGGAGAATTCACCACAGATAGTATTAAACGGAAGTTTGTCACCCCACAGTGTTGAAGATGGTCTAAGAACGTGAGTAAAAATTCAAACTATAAATGAACTGTGAATAGCTTCGTGTATATTAAAAAAATCAAAAAGTCTTTTACCTTTGATCGACACCCTTGATAAACGAGGATAAAACACGTGCCTAACGTCACAAGCATCGATATAAACATTATGAAATTTATTATAAATTTTTGAATCAAGTTATATTCAAAAAAGCAAAATATTACCTTGAAATCAGCACAACCAGCTGCCAAAAGTACATTGTTTGGATGCCAATCAAGACTTAATACTGTACTTCTAATTGGCTTTTTAAGATGTTTGCTAGTCCACCAATCATTTTCTTCATCAAAATAACAGATAGCTATGCAGCGTGCACCAGACGCTACAGCAAATTTATTTTCATTAGGTGACCAACGCACGAATGTTGCTGCACGATTAATTCGCAATAATACTAGAGTTGGTTTCCATTTATTGGTAACCAAGTCAAAGTTCCAAACATATGCATTACGATCCTGAGAACATGTAACTAGAAATGCGTATTATTTAGTTATATTTCTTATGAGGAATGATGACATTGTAAAAAAAAAAAAGGTTGATAGTTAACCCAATCGATTAGATTCTGGCGCCCAATCAATGCTTGTAACCAATTTATCGTGCTAAATTATAATAATAACAATAATAAATAAATTAAATTTAAATTGAGAACAAGAACAATCCATTACAAAGAATTCATCATACTTCAACTAATGCGTGTATTAAATTCCAGCCTTTGCCACTTTTTTGATAAATATGCACTTCATTATTATTTGGACAAATAGCGACCTCTGTTAAGAATAGTATAAGGTACTTTAATTAATTGCCTCTCAATGTCGCAGGAATTTTGGTCAAACATACGTGTTCGATCTTTATTAAAAGCATGAGCTGTAATCGGACCGAGATTGAATTGGTGGATCTCAGTTGGAGACATTTTCAGCGATAATAACGTTTTTTTAAACATCATTTAATATGATTTCACAATCATATGATCTTTATGGGTTACACGTAGGGTACCTGGCATGGCATTCATTGGCATGCCAATATGGCATGCCAATTGAGGCATGCCTATGGCATGCCAAAATCTTAAATAGATATAAGGCATGCCACTTATATAGAGTGCTTTTATATCGAAAAAATCATACGTAGCCTAAAATTACTTCTAATTCTAAAATTCTTGGTTCGGATCCAATAAAATTACAGGATCTTGTATATATATAAATAACAAAAATTTACTATGACAATTAATTTTTGACCTTAAAGTAAGAATTTTTGGCATATAATTTAGTTATAAGCCAGTTTTTAATATTAAATATACAGAATTTTTCTTACTTATATTATGTATATATAATTTAATGGCATGC